ACAAGTGCTAAAAAAGACCAGATCCAACAGTGTTTGCAGTCAGACTGAAGCCAGGAAATGTGATAAGTGTTGAAGGTTTCACAAGATTTAATAACTTTATGGACCCAACACGTGTTTTTGGTGTCACCAACCAGGATACATGATGAGCAACTGCCCTAGCTTGGGATAGAGGACTCCAGCAGATTCTTGGGGCAGTGTTGTACCACCTTAGAGAAGCTTTAGCAAGGTTGAGGGCAACTGAGTCCATTGGATAAATGCCAAGTCAAGTTGTAGAAACAGATGCTTTAGGCATGGGCTAAGTGCAGTTGTTATGCATTGTCAACAAACCATCACTTATTTCAGTCATGTGCTAACAGCGAGAGCCCGACTCAAGTCTATTTATGAGCGAGAGCTTATGGAAATTGTGACATGATTTGTCGAAGCAACATTTTATGGTGCGCACGAATTAGCTTAGCCTTAAATTTCTATTAGACCAGAGCATGGTGGTTGAGGAACATGAGAGATGGCTATCTAAACTACTAGTGTGTGACTTTGAGATTCAATATTGCCCAAAATTAAAAAAAAGGTTGTTGATGCCTTATCACGACAGATAAGGGAACCTCAATTGTTGGCTTTATCAATTTCTTTGGTTTTAGATTGGGAGGTCCTCGGACAATAAAGTGAGGCAGATGAGGAATTGAGCAAAGATTTGATTGGCTTTAGTGAAGGGCGAGAATACTATCCCAGTTATTCAATGAATGACCAGGGACGCTATATATTGTCGTAAAATTCAAGACATTAAAATTATTACAGGAGTTTCACGACAATGTTATAGAGAGTACTTGGTCGTGTTATAAATATATCGGAGGATAGCAACAGAATTGTATTGGGTGGGAATGAAAAAGATATGAAGGACATGGTCTCAAGGTATGATGTGTGCCAGCAGCACAAGTACATGGCATTAGCGTCTGCGAAGTTGCTACAACCTCTAGCATTACCGGAGAAGTTATGGGAGGATAACAATGGATTTTATTGAAAGTTTACATTGATCAGAAGGATTTACAGTCATCTTAGGGGGGGTGTACCGGTTGAACATTTATACTCATTTTATCCCTCTACGTTACCTGTCGTTTTTTTTATAAAGAATATTTCCCGTTTGCATAGGGTTTCATAATCAATAGTGTCAGATTGAAACAAGGTCCTCTTGAGTCATTTCTAAAGGAACTTGTTTATAATGCAAGAGACCACATTGAAAAAGGTACAACACCCACAGCCTGATAGACAATATGAAGTTATTAATTGAAGAGTGGAAACTTATTTGTGTTGCTTTATATCTGGCAAACCCAAGCAATGGGTTAAATGGCTAACTTAGGTAAAATATTGACACAACACTTTGTATCAAATATCTTCTCAGACTACTCTTTTTTAAATCATGCATGGTCATGATCAACCATATTTGGTGCATTATAGGCACAATAATGCATCGATGTCTCAGGCAGATCACTACATAGAAGATAGGAACAAGGTGTTGGCAGAACTGAAGGGACATTTGTTGAAGGCTCAATAATTTATGAAGAAGCAGGCCGACGAGCATCGAAGAGATGGCAACCCTATCAACAAAAGACATTGGAAAGACGCAGGAATGAGAAACTCTCCCCAAGATATTATAGTCCTTATGAGATCATGGAGTGCATTGGTAAGGAGGCTTATTGTTTAAAACTCTCACCTTCATCGACACTTCATCTAGTGTTCCATGTATCGCAACTGAGTCGCGCTATTGGTGACAATGTGTCTTCTTTTTCACTTCCCCCTACCAAAACTGAGGACATAATAGTTTTCTTGGAGTCACTGAAGTTAAACAGAGTGTGCCAAGAACTGACAAGTTGGAAAGAAGTATTTATTAAATGAAAAGGGTTGCCAGATTATGAATCAAGTGAGGGACATAAGACTTGATTCAGTAGTGATTTTCTCTATTCCACCTTGAGGACAAGGTATCTTATTAGGACAGGAGAGATGTTAAACCGGCATCTACGGTGTTTTCCGCCACGCCAAGCCTGCCAAATAGTTTGAAGACTTATTTTAAGCACAAAACTAAAAAATCAATTTAGTCATTTGTTAATTATTATTTTTTTGTATAAATTGGGCTTAATATGATTAATGTTAGCATATGTGATTGTTATCTGGAGTCTTAGGAGTTAGGGTTTGGAAGAGACTCATCTACCGCTCGAATTGTAGGTCTATCTTTTATGTATTCGGGATTGTTTCGTTTTGTTTTTGTACTAGTGGAATAAAATATATTATTTCTACCATGATTTCTCAGGAACTTATTTCGTTCCTATTAGTGAAATAATGGTTATTTGCAATAACCCCAAGCCTCTCTAAGCCGATGCAAATTGATTTAACTTAATATGATGTAAACCTAGGAGTTCTAACATAAATCCCATCAACAACTAAAGACTACATGAAAAACAAATCAGAAAATGCTTCAGTTAACAACATACTTGGTACAGCCATAATTGTCCTTTAGAATAATAAGCCTCTTCACGAGTGCATGAAAGTCAGCTAGAGAATATAAATCGCAAGCATTGAGAATAAAGAAGGGTCATTGTAGAGTTCCCATGGGATCTTTAATGCATGTTTTGAAATAGTCACTGCCGCACAAAAGAAAATGCAATAATATTGGAAATATGTCATTCTTCTTTTGAAGACTGTTCAGTCTGATCCGTAGAAGGAAAGGCAGTTGCAGCGATGAGTTCCTGAGTTTGTGTAAGACAATCTTCCAATACTTGGAAAACATCTGCCCTCTCAACAGATAATTCTACTAACTGATTAATAGCAGTAAGATGGTTTGTGTTTGGCTCTAAATCTTCATCATTAGTATCATTAGTATTAGATTCCGTCATCTGAATGTGAATGTTCTCTTCATCCCTATCTTCAATCACCTCATAGAGGGGAGTCTGAGCACCCTCCATGGTAGGTAGTCTGAGCACCGTCTGAGCACCCTCCATGGTAGGTAGAGCTTGAGAGGATAGTATGTTCACTCCAGTAGAAGAAGGGGCGATGACCACGTCCTGCCTTCCAGAAGCAACCACCTGACTCTCATCCAACAAACGACCCTTATCAACATATTCCGAAACAATATTAGTAGACAAACCATTTTGCACCGTATCCGTCATGGGCATAGTAGTAGGTATCACAGGCAGTAGAGTTTATCCCCTCCGCAGTAGTCACAGAAACGGGAGGTGGGGCTACAGTCGACCGTAGATGGGGATGCAACCGATAACAGGATGAAGAGCTATGACCGAACATTCCACAGCGAGAGCAGTAATGGGGATGAGGTCCCATCATAATCTTCTGCCAATAACCCTGATGAGGGGAGCCAATCCAAATCTCCCCTAGAAAGGGTTGAGTGATGTCGCGCTCTACAAGCACACAAGCTTCAGAAGGTCTGGCTCTATCAAGCGTAGGAGTATCGACCTTCAGCGGTTTCCCAAAAGCAGTTGCCAATGTATAAAGGGTTTCATAATTGAAGAGATGCACCTTGAGCCCTGGAAAATTAACCTAAACCGGGATAATAGGAGATTCTAATTTAGGATCAAAATCCACTGTCCATTTCAAAATTTTCATAAAGCATTTATCGATTTTGATAACTTTTTGAGCAAAGAGTTAGGTATAATCTGTGTCATTTGAGAGTTGAATGAGAACGTGACGGCCATCTAGCGAACCAACTTTCCAACTCCCTGTGAGCTTAAGAGAATCGAAATGCTTTCTAATAATCTCAAGCATGGGATTTCCATACAGAAATTTCCCAACAAGAGTATATCTACATG